TCTACACACAACCGCACACGTCCGTTTTTCTTAGCGACGCATACGAGTGCTGAAACCCACTCCGCGGCTTCGATAGTTTCGATCACCTTCCTCTCCAGCATTGTGTCCAGTTCTTTCTTCACTTCTTCACGAATCGCCAGGGGAATCCGTCTTAGCTTCTGTTGTACCGGTCGGATTTCGCTCCTCACCTTGACTCTATGGGCGAAGCCTTTAAGTCGACCTAATTTGTTACTGAACAATTCAGCGAATTCTTCACGTAGTGATCTCTCCTTGATCTCGTTGACAATCATCCGCGACTTCGAACAGTCGACCAGCAACCCGAGTTTCCCGAGCGCATCTCTTCCGAGAACAGATCGACCTGACTCAACCACGAAAATCCGCATTTCGGCTTCCCGCCCCTGATGCGCTATCGAAACTCTGGTTCCTCCCATAACTCGAATACGTTCGCCTGAATAGCTCACCAATACTGTCTCAGACTCTTCCAGTCCGTCCAATACATGCTCGCACTTCCAGTATCACAGAGGAAATCCACACGCCTACCATTCACTTCGACACTCCCTGATACCTCGTCCATCGCCTCTAACAGATGACGAACTCTATAGACCTGAACGTTGCCGTTTATTCTACGAGCCTCGCCACTACCAGTGATCCGACGACTCTGCATCGGTCGGCTCCTAGGACAACATCGAAAGAATTGTCCAATATCTCCACAATGTCTGCACGACTGAAGTCGAGCCGGGCAACGATAAATGTCGCTGTTCTGATGGTCGAAGTAGTTGCAATTCGTGCACGGGCTCTGTCGTTCTTGGGTCGTCATGCGCTGAGGGACCTGCTGTCTTGCATTCCGCCTGATCTCGTTCACGTCGACAGTACGTTCAGCGTTGACCTCCGCCTTTCCAATCTCGAGCCGTTCCATCGTGACCAGTACATCCGCCAGGGACTTGTCGTCTGGCAATTCCAATAGTCGCTCCCTTATATCCGAGTTGGCTGCTCCGGCAATCAGAATCGACTTGACGATTGTCTCTGGTCTCATATCAGCCAGTTTGCATCCTGCCATCAGCCGGCAAAGATCATCATGAAATTCCGCGGCAGACTCGCCGGGTCTCTGACGGCGTCGAAAAAGTTCATTTCGGAGCATCACTACGGATCTCTTCTGTCCGAATCTTTTCAGCAAGATCTCTTTTGATACTTGGTAAGTTAGCTTCTCTTCTGAATATCCGCTCGTCGCCGCATCGAAAGCTGCCTGCCCCGCCTGCCCGAGGTGGCAGGTCAACAGCGCCACTCGGCGTGCATCACTGACCTTGTCCGGTTCCGCAAAAGCTGCCGTCAGGTACCTTTCGAACGACCGAATCCACTCAGTCCACTCCGTTGTAGGTGATATCCCGATTTCCGGCCAGAAAGCGCTCGGTGTCGGAATTCCCATCGTATTCATTGCCGTTCGCCCACTCCGATGTTTCCGTGATCCGTCCGACTAAGCCGCCACTCCGTCGCAATAACTTCTTCTAGGCTGCTCTCCTCGTGCACTAGTTCTTCCCGACTCCGCCAATTGTAGTATCGGCCGATACCTGTCTAAAGTTCCACTTTAGAGGAGGGGACCGGTGTTCCTTCGGGCCTAGCCCAACAACAAGTCTCTCTGTTTATTCTAGCGGTCTCCAACATACATGTACCTACGTGCACGTTTATCAGTCGACTCCGCTATCTAATCGCTAGATACCACAAAAACCCGAGTCCAGCTTTCTTGAATATTCTCTGTATGATTTCATTGCAGAAGCTGTTTGCTGAAAGCACACCCTTCGACAGCAAGCTAGCCACCATTCTGCCCCTGTTGTCGAATGTCAGCATCGACGTATCAAGATGCTTCGATGACGCCTATTGTCTGCGGCGTCGTCTGTCCTCCGACTTTGTTCCGTGAAATTTTCTGTGGCATTTCATCACATTTGTACTCCCCTTTGAATATTGAAGCGGCGCCTGTAGCGCCACCTGTTTCTATAAAAGCCAGGGCTAGTTCACAATAAATTATCGATGCTTAGAGCCAACCTTCGTTGTCACGCTTTATTTTGGTGGCAGCGGCATGGGAAGCAGCGGAGCCACCAGAGAGAACGTGCTGAGCACGGAAAACCTCGCTGCATTGTCGGAGGTTCTGACGCCCGTAAGCACCTTGCCAGCATTCGATCCCGTCACACCAACGAAATGGTTAAGACGGCTGGAAATGGACGCGAGCGTACTCGGATGGTCAGATCAACAGGTCCTCTAATTGGCGTATCGTACAATGGATGAAGATTCCAAGATCTGGTTTGTAGCTGACATAGGCACTCGATCTACGTGGACGTGTTTCAAGGAGAAGTTCTTAGTGCGTTTCCCGGAAGGGAGTAGGAGGTCCCCGGCTTAATACTACAGTCATGGACGGCGCCCAAACGAGTCCGTCACGCCCTTCATCAGAAAGAAACAGTCTCTGCTGATCGAAGTAGGAATCCCGTTCTTATTCGAGGACTTCGTCATTGAGATCAGAGAATCCTGTAATTCGTGTGCATTCTCGAATTTCCTGGTTACCGCGAACCCAGAATACTCCAAGTCATTGATGAGAATGGCTGACAGTTACTCTCCTCCGGATGACCGGGAGCCGTCGCCGGACATTGCCAAGGAAAGCGTTGATCCTAAGCTTGGAATTCGCTTACTCGTCAGAGGACCAGAATTCTCAGATGCTACACGCTCATTCCAATCGCGACTTCGAGAGGAACAGAGCAAGAATCTCGATTACCTCCGGAAACTGAAGATTCTCCAGAATGGCATTCCGCTGGGGAAGTACGCCATCCGAGAAAATTTGCTTCATCGGGAAGGTCGTGTGTGTGTTCCCGGTTCCTTGAGCGAGGAGGTTATCATGTGGTGTCATGATAATCGAGGCACGGCACACCCCGGAATCCGGGGCACGGAGCGTCGTGTACAGGCAACATTCAACCTCGGTAGACGACTTCGTCGTCGTGTGAGGGAGTATGTTGAAAATTGTGAAGTTTGTCATCTCCGACGTAGCGTGCCTTCGGAGTCATCTTTGCTCGTAATTGCGCGGGGTCGCCGCTTAGGTAACCAAACATGTCAAGACGGTCGCTGGAGGTCATCGATCGCTCAGAAAGCATCTGGAAATGACAAGAGCGCGTCGAGACGAAAGGTGTCACATCGCATCCCGTCCAGGCTGGAAAATTCGTTGGAGGTGTATCAGAGAGAGTATCCGCACTCTGTGGACCGCTGCTCCTCGCAGCGGCAAAGTCCGCCACGACCCTTCGAACGAGGACGTTCGAAATCTGTAGCATGGCCGAATGAAGCGGCACCTGTAGCGCCACCTCTTTCTATAAAAGCCAGGGCTAGTTCACAATAAATCATCGATGCTTAGAGCCAACCTTCGTTGTCATGAGGACGATATGGCTGGACACCCGGGAGTGCGAAGGACTGAGCGTCGCGTCCGCGAACGGTTTGATCTTGGACGGGCCTTCCATCGTCGCGTTCGCCAGTATGTCAGAGACTGCGAGATTTGTCAGAGGCGCAAGCCGCCTCAACAGAAAGTCGGCGATATGCAACCTGTGGTGCCGCCCGGGAGACCTTTCGAGAAGGTCGGGCTGGACATCGCTGGTCCGTTCAACGTTCCTGGGCGTCCGCCGGTCTACATTTTGGTAGCCGTCGACTATTGTACGCGCTTCGTGCATCTCTTCGCTGCCGGGCGGATTTCGGCTCCGTTCGTGGTGCGGTCTCTCGAGATTATGAGTGCGTCTCTGGGACGTATCGGGACGATTGTCGCCGACAATGCGTCGTGCTTCCGAGGTACGTTGTTGGCTGATTATCTGCGGAGGGTTGGGACTTCGCACATCCGTACAGCCGTGGGTCATCCTCAATGCAATGGTCTCGCGGAGAGGACCATACGGACGTTGACGGATCGTCTTGGTGCTCTCGTGCTGGAGGGGTTCACGGCTTCGAGACAGCCTTCTCTTTGAACACCACTGTGAGTGAATCGCTACGGGAAACGACCTTCGAAATGTTATTCGGATTTCCGGCGGTCCTTCCTGGGGAACCCCCGCGGGTCTCACAAAGCCGCCGTTCTGTACAACAAGTGCGGGAGGAAGGCCATCGGAATCTTTTGAGGGCTCAAGAGCGTATGAAGAGTCGGTCTGACGTTTCGAGGGTGGAACCGGTACACTTTCGTGTTGGCCAGGAGGTACTGGTTCGGATCACCAAAGTCATGCGTGGCCTGTCCAAGAAGTTGCACCCACGCCCACGGTTCGTGGGGCCCTGCGAGGTGGTGCGTCGGCCTGCCCATTCTACCTATGAAGTACGAAATCAGTCCAATCGAGTGCGGACCCTGAATGCTAAAGACTTGAAGCCCTTCGAACGAGGGCGTTCGTGAGCAGTAGCGGGGCCGATTGAAGCGGCGCTGCTGTCGCCGGGTCATCCTATAAAAAGGGCTGCTCGAGTTCAGAATAAATCCTATCCATTATCACCGGTCTTCGTTGTTCCGCTACAATATGCAAAATAAGCGCTCAAAATAAGCGAAATGAGCGTGAATGATAAGCAAAATAAGCGTGAATAATAAGCGAAATAAGCCTTAAAAGCAAGAGAAATAAGCATTCAAAATGAGCGAAATGAGCACTCAAAATGAACAGAACAAGATTTCGAAATGCGCAGGATAAGATTTTTAAATGAGCGGTGATACGGTTCCATTGATATCAATCGTCTAGAATTAGTCACGATCATCGCAAAAAATGACCAGCATCATCTTTAAATTTTCAAAAGTGAGGCATTGACGTCGGTCATTCAGCGTGTGCTTTAATGCAGAGAAGCTCCTTCCGACATCGGTGGAGGTGATCGGAGCATAAGTGAACGATGCGATTGCGGAGGGAGAATGGCAGCTCTGGAAGCTCGCGGTCGAATTCCCTTGCAGGACTTCCGCGATTGACTTCTGGGTGCCATAGTCAGGGTTGTTCGCAACCACAGAAACGCATTTCCTGGCCAGTCGTTCACCCACGGGACCTGAGATCGCCTTGAGATCTCTGAGCGCCTTCGAAAATAAGTCCATCGCGTCGGTCAGGAGCGCCGCTCGTTCTTCGAGCTGGGTGATTTCTGCAGACAAACACCCGAAGTTTGAGAATATGAACTTTGAGAATATGCTTTATAGATTGCTCTCCGATCATTTCTTTGACAGCTCGGATGCTGACCGCGTCATCTGCGTCGAGTTTGTCGATAACTCGCAAGAATTCTTCGAAGTATTTGGCATGGTAAACTGCCGCATTCGACCATGTTCCCCATCCCGTTAGGATCGGTTGAGGGGGGAGTGGAATCCCCGGAACAGTCGCGCGAAAAATCGTAACCCTTGAGGCCGCTTTTAGGAAGATCTTCTTGCCGTTCGAAATGGGCCGGTCAACATTCGGGTACATGCCTCGGATCTCCTCCGCCACACGATGTAGGGCGTGGGCGGCGCACGTCACGTTAAGCATTTTGGGAAAGCTTACTTCCAGTGCCCTGCCCGCTTTTCGCATATACGCGGCCGCATCAGTCAAGAAGAGCAGGACTCGATCGTACTGGACTCCGTCGGGCCAAAGCAGGCTGAAAGCGTTGAAGAAAACTTGCGCCATAGCTGTGCTGTGGGTTCTTTCCAGGCTCTCAGCGTGGATCGGAAATGATGCGCTCCCCGTCGGGACGAGTATGCCGATGATCACGTGCGCAACGAAGCGGCCGGTGACATCGGTCGTTTCATCGGTGGACACCCATATCGGATTGTTTTCCACTGCATCCCTTCTACGCTGGACTCTCTTCTCGTACACGGGTTTGACATAGGAGACGGGATCTGCTGCTCCGTTTTTCCAGGAAGTTCCGTAGTTTTGCATCCTCTAACTTATGCAGAGGTATATCTGCGGACACGAAAGCCTCGCATACTTCCATGCTGGAATGGGATTGCTTCCCAGAGACTTCCGTGCAAGGTCCTTCTTCGGGCGCAATGGCGGCTTCTAGACACCGACGTTTGATGTGTCTCGAACCCTTCACGTGCTGATCCACATCGAGCTTCTTCAAACTGAAAATCGTCCGTTTACATGCTCTGCAATTGAGATTTTCACCGTCGATGTGGAAAACGTCACTGCCGAAGATACGGACGAAAGCTTCCAGCCTTTCCGGGTTGTCGCAGCTGTTCTCGGCATGATTTCCTGTTCTTTTCCCGAGAGGCGGAACACAGAAGACACGCTTGAAGGCGAATACTTGTTCACGAGCTGCTGGTATGGGTGCACGCGAGGGTGTGTGAATGAATATTCGTCGGCAGCGAATTCTCGTCGAGTAAGTCGAAATCTCGCGAAATGTTCGCTGCTGATATGAAGATGATCCACTCACAACATAGATGTTGGTGAACTCTGTTGGGAAAGTCGTAGTCTCGCGGGTCATTTGATCTCCTCTATATAAGCCCGACAAAATTCGCTTAAGAATACATTCGGATATAACCTCGTTATTCCACTCGTGACTTGTCGTTTTCTTGTGGTCTCGATTCTCGTCCCGCAGAACTTTGATTGATTGATTTATTAACCATCCCTGGTGTAACAAGATTCACATAATATCCAGGAGACCCCATGTGCGGGGGCGAGTCTTCTCAGCTGGTTATAGGTTGGTGGATCCGACGTTTGCAGGGGACGTATCTCATCGTCTCCCGCTCCCATCTCTCTAGACTTCTTTTTGTTCGCTCTACAGTTTCTCGTATTGAGTCTTCGTGTAGGCCTAGTCTTTTGCGGATCTCTGGCTCAGAGCTATTCTCTTCGTCGCACTCCATGATGACATGTTCCAGGGTTTCGTTAGGGCAGTCGCACAGCTCACACTTTCCATCTATTTCTTCGAACCTGGCTCTGAAGGAGTTTGTGTTGAGGAAACCGGCACGGGCACCTGCCGGGAGGGTACTCCCTCTTGTGTTGTCATATACATGATCAATTGTGCCCCTGTTCATTTTGTGTTGTCATATACATGATCAATTGTGCCCCTGTTCATTTTGTGTTGCCTGTATCTTTTCAGGCTCGGTTTGGTTTCCATGTTCTCCCTCCATTCCCTGTCGGTGAATGTTCTGATGCACTCGCTCACATCGTTGCGGAAGGCTCTCCAGTGACGTTCTTCAGATTCCACATGTTGCGCTTCATCGAACTCGCACTCATACAGTCTGCTGAGGTGTTTCATTCTTTTGTACGCCTCACTGAAGATGTTGCATGTCTTCATTGCCTCCAGGATGGCTTTTGGCCATCGGTGGCTCGGCATTCGCTCGAGTCTCGCAAAGAAATGAATTTCACTTTTGGCTCCTCTGCTCTGATAGGAAGCCCATCCCAGTTCTCCCTCAATAAACTCATTAGCTATATTGAAGGTGGGTTGCCCTAGAGCCCATTTGCCTGCTTCCCTCTGCGATGTTTCCAACCTCTTGCGCGAGTCCGCAGATGCTGTCAGGACCGAGTTGCAGTAGGTCAGCGCAGGCACACATGTCGCTTTCCACTGTATCTTAGTCACCTCAAACCTGTTGAACTTCCATAGCGACTTGGCATACATTTGCCTGACCGCTTTCGTGGATTTCTCTTTCCACTCTTTCTCTTGCTCACTTCGGTAGTTCCGGTTGTTGCAAAGCGTGATGCCAAGATACTTGTATGATTTGGCCGTGGGGATTACAAGCCCCTGGATGCTTAGCTCCGGGTTCACCCCACTGCCGGGTTCGTTAAAGTCTAATACAGCAGATTTTTTCGGGTTGAAGACAAGTCTTAACTCGTTTCCCACTTCTGTGGTGATCTGTAGCAGCTGTTTCATTTCAGACCAGGAGTGTGCTAGCAAAAGGAGATCATCTGCGTATAGCATCCCTGGGATTACTCTCACTCTACTTTCTTTGTTCTCGAAGATGTTTTTCGAGGTCCTGATCTTCACTCCACGGCCCGATTCTACGAGCCTTCTCTCCAATCTTGAGATGTACAGCATGAACAGGGTGGGCGACAGGTCTTCCCCACTGGCTTCGTCCTTGTCCTCGCCGATGGCCCCATCTTTGACTTCTAGGCAGGAGAGCGTTCTTTATCGAAACTGATTACGGCATTTCACTGAGCAGCACCCTCTCGATAGCAGTGATCGGCATATTCATAATCATGACTGTGATTGAGACTCAAGTCATAGTCATAATCACATGAATAGCAAAATCATAGTCACGCCTGTGATTATAATCTTAGTCACAGTCATAATCACAGATTTTGTGATTATGACTATAATCATACTCGTAATCATACGATCGATAGAAAAACTGTGATTATGGAGTTTTTCTGATTACGGTTGAGGATTTCCGAGGCCGCTGATCATGATGGTGATGTCAGTTTTGCTATAATCGTCTATTGAAGAGCGAGGCGGGGGTTCAACGTATTACTTTATTGTATTTCGGGCGGCGGCCGATCTTGGAATCGACATTTTGATCTGATCGCATTGATGAAGACAGATAACAGCGAGTGGAAAATAACGAGGAGGTCCAAGGATGCGACATCGGTGGAGAAAATAAATGTCGTTGTCGACTTCCGCGGCTTCATTGCCCTCTCTGCGCCATTTAGCATACCTAGCTGTCAGAGGGTGTGACGCTCTATTTCCAAACGGCGAGTCTAGCGCTCCGTTCCGGTCCGAGACGTTCATATAATGACGTTTCCAGCTTCTAGCCAAAGGAGTCAAGAATGCTAGTTGGCTTCTGTTCTCTGACCTTGATTGTGACTCGACCGGCACTCAAAAACCTTGGAGATAAAAAAATTCTGTTGTCGAGTCGCGACACTACATCTTTATGAATTTATTCGAACGAAAGCCAAAAACAGAACTTCCAAATCACCCTCTCCCTCTGCCTGCCTCATAGAGCGTATCCGGCGGGTGTCGTTTCATTGTTTGCCCGCACGCTGATTGACTCGCAGTTCTTCGTCGAAAGCTTCACCAGGCCAAGTGAAACTAACTAGGAAACTAGGGTGCGCAGATGAAATTAGGAAACTTGGTGCGCGGATGAAACCAGGAAACTTTGGTGCGCGAATGAAGCTAGGAAACTTGGGTGCGCAGATGAAACCAGAAAACGGCGGATCTTCTCGTATCATATGCACACCCATGACCTCTGTGATGGATGAGAGGAACGTCGGCCTTAGGCCTTACTACAGAAGCTTTCGGCGACGGAACTGCTTGGAAGTTGGAAGCGGGTCAGCTGACTGCTTGTCATTTGTACCGGAATGACTCTCTCGAAAGTTAGCTCTTATAGTTAAGAATCATAACTATATAACTTAAACTTAATATATAACTTATTATTATTATTATTATTATCATTATTATTAATATATAACTTAATGAATAATATATAATATAAAAACATATATAACTTAGTATATCTATATATAATATAAAAAAATATATAACTTAAGACATGACTGTGCAGCCGCCGCCGCTGCTGTTCTCTATAAAATCATGCTCAGTGGGAAAATGTCTCGTTCCTCGATCATCATACATCGGGAACAAAGAAGTGCAAGCGGGAGTGAGAGTGCATCATATCATCATGACAGCAAACGCGACCCATCCGCTCCGACAACTGAAGTTGAGTGTTCGTCATGCTCTGCGGAGCCCGTATTTCCGTGCATCAAGCACAGATCCTCTTGCCATCGAAGACGAAATTCGACGGACGAGATCTGTCTCGGCTCTTTGCAAGCTATTCTCGGCGACGGCGGGGACTGCGAGAGAAAGCGTCAAATGTTCCATCGATCGGACGTCAAATCTCAACGCGCATGTCAGGAAACATCATCCTCAATCACTGCCGGCGTTCAGAGAATTTCTCGCGGACCAAGAGGAGATAGCGTCGCGACTGCCAGAAGAAACCTCCCCAGTGCCAATGCCGACTGCCGTCGACAATTACTACGATTTCGAAACCGAACCCGTTGCCTCGACGTCTTCGGCTTCCTCGCAGCAGTCCGCAAGAACTCTGATTGAAACCTATCTGAGCGATCCTGAGAAGAGTCCTGCAATGCTGGAACAACGGTACAGGCCCATTGATGCCATATTCCGAGAATGGAACACCCAGCCGCCGTTCAGTGCATCCGTAGAACGTATGTTCAGCTACGCGACGATGATGAATGCACCACGATCGAATCGTCCGTCTGACGTCAAGTTTGAGCAGAGGGTTCTCTTACGTCACTCTCTTCCCCCTGCTGCGAGAATCGAACAAGCTCAATAATACGCTGTGTTTCATCAGAAATTTTGTCATTCGTATTCTTTCAACTATTTTTGTACTCCACGGTGGTACTCGCACTCGCAGTTACCCTTGCGTATCCTCCGTTGAGGCTTCTCGTATTTCGTATCCACATCAACCTATCTTTTCTGCTTCTCCTCTATTTTTGTACTCCACGGTGGTACTCGCACTCGCAGTCACCCTTACGTATCCTCTGTTGAGGCTTCTCGTATTTCGTATTCACATCAACCTATCTTTTCTGCTTCTCCTCTATTTTTGCCCGATGTATCCTCTCTTTACCCTCGCCTTTCGAAATTGTTCCCGCGTCATGCTTTCTTCGATCTTCTGATCGTCACTTCGTCATTCGTTTATTGTACTGAGATCGTTGTCTTCGACGAATTCTGATCAACCCTGAGCGGCTCCCAAGTCACTTTTTTTTGCTCCGTCATATGACTACGCGTATGATCACAGCTATGACCATGACTATGAATATGATTATAGTCATAGTCCTAATCACACAAATCCTCAAGCTGTGATTTTATTCATAATCTCAGTCAGTATCGTGGGATGGGGAGAAAACCAAAAGGACAGGGATAACAAGTTCATGCCGCCGTACTGTTCCATCCCGTCTCGAGAACGGTCGCACGCTTCTGCGAACGCCCCACCCTCCACAGTCCACAGCTTCGATTTTTCTGAGAGCGATATTCTAGGACCGATTCGAAGGTCTCACGATTCACAATAAACACCTTGTTCCCCTGAGCTCGCCCACCGGGTATGAATTCGATAAGGGAGGGAACGCATCGATTCTGATGCGTTCTCGCTTCCCCGGGAAGGCTCATCGGAACGGGGGGGATTGAGCAGTGTCGAATGCTTCCTCGATCGCACAGAGAGGCTGATCCCCGGGATCGGGAAGAGCAACCGAACGAAGTCGAGATTATCCGCTTCGCGAGACCCAGACATTCACCTCTGAGCGGCGAAGGGTTGACGGATGTCGTTTTAGAGCAAGCTGCTTCCAACCTGTCAGTCCCACTTGCCAGACAATCGATTAAATCTCCGAGCTCAACTATGCGTCGCGGCCAAGGTCATGTGGCGAGCTCTGATTGGCGCTCAGGTCTCGATTCGCGGGGCCGTCGACGATACATTGCGAGCAACGTGAATCCCCGTGACAGTCCGTTATACGCGATCGGTCCCCCCGCGAGAAGCGCGAGTTCTCTCCCCGTTCGTTGCCGATCGCCAGAGCACAATCGGGAGCCCAAGCGATGAGCTTGACCTTGGAATCTGGGACTTCCGAGGTCGCGCACGACCACCGACCCAGGGTTTCGGGTGGCGTGTCAACGAGTCTCTGACCACCGACTGAAGAGAGGGCAGTCCCGAGACGACCGCCTTCAAATGACTCAGTTACAGTGATAAAGAATACCCGCTCATTAGGCGAAGGAGTGTGGCCGAACACGATTAAGGTTGCAAGTCTTGTTGCGTGGCTTTGAGATCCGGGCGAGCAGCTGCGGCTGCGGTGGCGGCCGCAGCCGCAGAGTCTCACCTGCATCGTCGTTCGAACCGTATGACACGTCGTCCTCTCCGGTATCGTAATCTAGGTAGCTCCTCTCGGAGCTCACTACGTCGTGGAGTCCAGCGGGCCCTGGAACGTCGCTGCTGACATCGGACTCATTTCCAGACGACGTACCACTGGTCGCGTTCTCCGCTGCGGGAGTAGCCATCTCGGAAGCACGGCACGAACGTCTACGCGAAATTGGTAGACGTTCTCCATGTTCCTGAGATCAATAAAAATCTGGTTTCTATTGGACAAATGACTGATCGTGGATATTGTGACGGAACAACGAAGGTTGATAGCAAAGATTCTTTATTCCTACACCTAGCAGCCTTTCATGGGGATTCAGCAGGGGAATAATCCCGCGCCACTAGCGCCGTTTCACTCGGTCACGCTACTGGTGCCCGAACGTCCCCGCTCGAAAGGCCGCACGTCTTTAATATTGAGGGTTCGCGAACGCCCGGCTCTGTCCCGTACGAGGTAGGCCGAAGGAGCGACTTGACGCTCAACTGTCCATGGACCCACGAACCGTGGATAAAACTTCTTGGAAAGACCGGGTTGCTTCTTTGCAATTCGAACCAGTACCTCTTGGCCGTTCCTCAAAGACATTGGCCTCGGCCGGGCCGCATCGTACCGAGACTTCATACGGGCTCGGGCGACTGACAGCTTACGATGGCCTTGTTGACGAATTTGCTCTACGCGGCGAGATTCCCGAGGACCTCTAGGAGGTTCTCCAGGTAGAACCGCGGGGAATCCGGACAACATTTCAAACGGAGATTCTTGAAGAGATTCACTCACAGTTGTATTCAGCGAGGAAGCGATCCGTGGGATCATGTCTCGAACAGCCCGAAAGCCCTGCTGCACCAGAGCAGCTAAGCGGTCCGTCAATGTCCGTTTAGTCCGCTCGGCTAAGCCATTACACTGCGGATGGCCCACCGAGGCGGCTATTCGTGTTTTACCCGCTATGGCAACCTCCATTTCGAAGGGGTCTTGATCTTCGAAGTTCCCTATGCATTGCACACGTAAGGTTTTACTTCGTTCGTTGCAAGCTGCAGCGAAGTGTCCACTACGACCACATTTGAAGCAAACACGCGGCTTCTGCGGCCCAGTCAGTTGGTTCTTCGAGAAGCTTTCCCGATCTCGAGCTGGTCTCGGCTCCGGTCTGTCTGGTCCGAGGGATCGGTATCCTTGTCGGGGTTCCCAAAACTTTTCTGCGACTTCCATGAGAGATTCAAAGTCTTCAGGATTCGATGCGATAACGAAATTTCGGAAGTCCGGTGAGTTGCAGGAATTTTCTATTTCGTCGACGAAGTCTGTTATGTTGAAAGGGAAGGGACCTTCACATCCCTCATCAATGAATGCTCCCTTCTAATGAACGTCGTGAAGCTTTCTTCCGGCAGCCGCTTCCTACGATAAAACTCGGCCGGAGACTTTCTTTTCCCCTTCGGGAAACGGGAGTAGAATTGGGTTTTGAAAGTCGTCCAGTCGACATGGGGTCCGACTTCAGCGGCGAAAGGCTCCTGGCTGATAACGAGCTCGAACTCTTGGGTGCCCCTCTGAATGACCTCTCGTTGGATAGAAGTTTCCAGAAAAAATGGCGCTCGTTGATTTATGGTGCTCAAGACTCCCTGCTCTGGACGCTCATCCCGCCCTCTTCCTCATCCGCTGTAGCCTCTCTGCTCCTCGTCTCATCTACCTCCTCCGCTGTTCGGATGCCGATCGCTTTCGCGACCACCTTCGGAGCCTCGACGAAAAACTTGGACAGTGTGTCTGCACGATACTCAATCTCGACCTCTCAGGTGACTCCTGGAAGCAGGCTTCTCTTCCTATATCGGCCGGAGGACTCGGTATCCGATCCCTCTGTGACCTCGCGGTGAGCGCTCATTTGGGATCTCTGCGTCAGTTCAAGGCACTCGCTGCCAGCTTATGTCCGAGCACTACTGCGGCTCATCTTGACGCTCGAATGGCCGGTCTATCTCGCAGGTTTGAGGATTGCTGGAAGAGCATTCCAGAGGAGATCTCCCACGCTTCCTGCTCCGACATAGTCACAACGATGAGACGCAGTGAACTCGTTCAGAGCTCCTCAGGGGACCTTAACAAGGCGAGACTTAACGCGGCGCTTCACCCCAGTAGCGGAAGATGGCTTCAAGCTATACCCTCTCCGTCGATTGGCACGATGCTGGACAACAACACACTCCGCATCGCTGTCGCTCTTCGATTAGGGATAGCAATCTGCTCTCCCCATTTTTGTGAACGCTGCTGCGCTCGAGTCTCAGCTTCTGGCGTACACGGGTTGAGCTGCCTCCGGAGTGTCGGCCTAGGCTTTGCAAAAAACCGCAGATTCTCAGAACCGCGGTTCCAGAACCGCTGAGAACCGCTGAGAACCGCAACCTGGGAACCGCGGTTAAAAACCGCAAAAAACCGCAAGTTGCGGTTCCGTGAAAAATTAGCTCTCAGACGACTAATTTCCGCGTATATGATCGATTGAACGCCGTTATTGAAAACTTAGTGGGGTGAGCGAAGTCCACTGGGAATAAGGAGACTTCATCTTCTGTTCACAAGAGATGAGCCAATGAATGTCAATAATTCCGGGAGTCCCGAAATCGACAATCTTCCATGCGATGTAGATTTTCCGCTATGTTCTGGACTCATGCCGGATTTTGACAGCTCGACGCTCTGTCAGCTGCCAGCCGCATCTCTCTCACCGAGAGTCGGAATCGAATCAGATCGAAGTCTCGCCAGTTTTCGAGGAGTGTTCCAAAACCCGTTCTAATTTTGTTTCTGGTTTTTTAAATCGTTGTCATGGCCCGCACGAAGTTGCGGTTCTACTCATAGATAACCAGTGTATTCTGTCTGTGGAATCGGAGTGTCATCGATTGAGCACTTCAGCCTAAGCTTGAGTATCGAGTATCAATTCCGAGTACCAAACAAAGATCAATCCCGATACGAGGAAGGATGAGTCGCAGATGAGAACCTCCATCAGGTATACTCGTTCATTTCTGCAAGGCTCACCGGAACATTGACGTGTATCGAAGGAGTACTCTACGGAGCTCACCTTCGTACAAACGACGCACTGTGCTTGGTCGGAACTTTTCCCGAACCAGTTCCAAACCCAGCTCTCGGGCTAATTGGTGTATGACGATCGGTTCTTTCATGAAATGATAGATTCTCGAAAAGTTTACAGTTCTGTGACGACCTTAAATCAGTCTAATCATACCACGATCCTCTGTGTCAGCCTGAGTCGCGTACGTGCATGTTTATACGTCGATCGGATCTCCATTCCGGAGGAAAGAGTACCCCCATCCGGGGGACCTGTCTCTCTGGAGCTCGCGCGGCTCGACGGTTTATTTACGGATGCGAGACCATTGGAAGAGGGCACTTGCTCCCGAGAGAGCCCTTCTCCAATGAAAACGGGCATTGAAACATCGAATTTCTCGGTGGACTGATAATTCTGGAACCGATCTATCGCCTCCCGCTGGAATTTAGCGGCATCTACCCTGCGGGTCCGGAACCGCTGGAACCGCAAAAATCTTGCGGTTCTTGCGGTTCCAGAACCGCATTTCTGGTGCGGTTCGCGCGGTTCCAGAAACGCGGTTCCGGAACCGCTGCAAAGCCTATGTCGGCCGTCATCCTAGACATAGAGCTATTGATAAGCTCTTGTCTTGCGCACTTCAGTCCGCGAGAATAGCCAACATATTGGAGCCCACCGGTCTTTCGAGCTGCTCAGGCCTTCGCTCCGATGGCCAAACACTCTCTCCTTGGAGGGCAGCGAAGGCTCTCGTCTGGGATGCCACGGTTTGGGACACACTCGCTTCCTCTCATCGGCCCCTTGCGGTCCGCTCAGGGGGTGAGGTTGCGAGGCTCGCGGAGAGGAAGAAGCTGGACAAGTATCAGGTTCTTGAGAGCCGCTTCATTGTGCAACCAGTCGCAATTGAGACTCTCGGAGTTTTCGGTGAGGGCACAGAGGCCTTCCTCCGAGATCTGGGTGCTCGTATCGAGTCCGAGTCGGGCGATAAGAGGGCCACGGAGTTCCTCCTTCAGCGTTTGTCGATAGAGGTTCAGAGGGGGAACGCCGCTGCAGTCCATGGCTCAATGCCTTCGAGTGACGGGTTGCCCGGAGTAGGGTGATCATAACTTATTTACTACGTTGGAAAGGTCAAGAATAATTCGCCAGTCTAGTCGACTCACGCAGTGACTACTCTGTAGACCTAGCAAAGCGATGGGAGACTGGAGGAGACTGGAGCCTGTCGGCCTACATAAGCATCATTGAGCTCGAGATCGCGTTAAATGCACTCATAAACATCATAGAGTCTGAGCAAACGTTTGTTAGGGACGGATGATTGGGGTGGGAGCCCTCGGTGAACTCCTCCTCTCTTCTCATGGAATTACAGTCAAGTCTTCCCACTGCGTGAGTCGACTAGACTGGCGAATTCCAATTCGTCGAGTTCCGGAGTTCACCGAGGACAGATAGCGATTTTAACGTTATGGATTGAGCACGGCGGAGGACAAAGGTGAGGGGGCGGGGCGATAATAGTGGTTGTAAAACGTAGTGGCCCTGGTCCATTGGGCGGCGTGGAGAACGTCCTGGAGTTGTAGTCCGCGTAAGTGCGCCGCGGTCGCAGAAGCCGATCGGGTCGAATGCGCTGTGTATACCGAGGAGTCTATACCGGCCGCTGCGAGGGTGGCTTTGACCCATCGTGCCATGGCGTCTCTGGAGGCAGGCCTGTATGGTTTCCGGGTGGTGAGGAACAGCGTGCCTGGTTGTTGGCGGTGTGTGTGTGTCATTGCAGTATACGCCTTGAGTGCCCGGAGGGGACAGCGGAGGGGGTTGGTTGGGTAGGTTTTGACGAGGAAGGAGGACGAGTGATAGCCGAGCCTGCTCGTTTTGGTAAGACCGCGACCATAAGTAAATTCCCATTGGTGCGGTTGGCGGGAGATGGGAGGATACTCGAGGTCGGCGATCTCGCCCACCCGGGCGGCAGAAACGAGCAACACGAGGAGAAGTGCACGGTTGGTCGTTTGCTCTAGCGTGAGAGAATCGGAAGGGCTCCAGGTGTCCATATGCGCGAGAAGAACCTCGACATCCCCCACTGGTGGTCGCGGCGCCGATGGAGGTTTCAGGTTGAAAATCCCTCGCATAAGTCGGCATATCGTGGGGTGACTGCCCAT